TGAGCAGGGCTACCCAGTGAAGTACGCATGCAAAAGCCCCACAGCGGACCGCAAAGACCCCGGGAGGGTCCGGGGCAACGGGATCCCACCTCCCACATACACGATGGGATCTGACTTGCCGGGAGGGGAGCGCTGGAAACGCCAGCCGGGCGCAGCCACTCCGGAGAAGGGGAACTGCGCTCGCAGCAGGCGGGCAGGCCGGCTCCGGCGCCTTACGGACGGGGCCTGCAGCGTGGCCCCCCCTGAAGCCAGCCTGTGCCCCGGCAGCCCCCCTTGAGGAAAGTGCTTGGGAACGGGCCCCGAGAGGCAGAGACGCGCGTGGGGAGCCACAGCAACTGCTGCTTGAGGAACGATTATGGCGGAGGCCGCCTTGTTGAGAAAGGGGGCTACGGGGGCAATCGGAACGTATAAAGCTAGGAATGGCATGGGGGGCGGAGAACAGCTCTGCGCCTCCTCTAGCGCTGCGAGGAGCCGGCACCCTGAAACCGTCGTTTACCCGTTCACCTTTTGCAGCTACACAGAATATCCCCGCAAGCGTGACGCCACGGCCTGCCTCCTCCCACCTCTTTTTCCCTTACTGCCTGCGTTAGATTGTAAGCTCCTTGCGGGCAGCGGCCTCTTGGCTCTTGCCTCGGCAGCCCCGTAAGGCACAATGATTGGCGAGGCCGTGGCGGAAGCGGTGAGCAGGCGTGGCAGATACAGGGCGCCCAGCAGGCCTCCCCAAGCCACGACCGGTGCCACCAGCACAGGGGCTTCGCGCCCGGAAGGCCCCTGCCGGAGACGGTGCCGGCCCAGCGCCAGAAATCTGGAGCCGGGGGCCAGCAGCAGAGAGGCGGGCATGAGGGGGCTGCCCTGAGGCGCGGCACCGACCTCCCCCCTTCCCTGCCCGAGCCACCCTGCAGCCTCGCCTTGCCCTTTCCCGTTGGGGGGGGCAGAAGTTCAGGCGGGGGAGGCGGCGGCTTGGTCTCTGCCCTGAACCGCAGGAAAGGGGGGGCTGCTCCCCGCTTCCTTGGAAGGAATTCTGGGCGGATCCCTCAGGCCCAGACCAAGCCGCCCCACTGCCACACCAGCCCCGGCTGGGCCTGCGAGGCCTCCCAGCCGCTCCTCCGGGCAAAGCCACCCGAGGAGCGACGAGGCCGCCCGCCCGCTGGAGCACCATTCCCAGCTGCCACTCGCACCAGGATGCTGTGCCTGGGCACAGGCCATCCTGGAGGGAAACCAGCAGCCAGCACTGGGCCCCGGAGCTGCCGCGGCCCCGGAGGACGGCGGCCAGTCGCGAGCACGAGGGCAGAGGCCGGCCAGCGTGCCAGGGAGGCTGGGGGGCGCCGGGTCACGGATGGGGAGCCGGCTGGGCCAGAGGACAAAGGAGCGCGGCGGTCAAATCAACGGATTTATCTCAAGAGACTGGTAAAGAGTAATTTTAAGACAAAACAAAGCAACGTATTTACATGATTCCTTAAGTGCAAACGCTCGTCTCTGCAAGGCGCGGCGGGCGGCCAAGGTGCTTCTGTCGCTCGGGGCGGGCGAGGCCCCCTGCCCAGGAGGGCCGGCCGGCTGGCCGGGCCGCTACCGCACGACCAGGCAGGAGACGCAGAGCCGGGAGGGGCCGATGCAGTCGTCGTGGCAGAAGGCGCCGCAGCCCTGGCAGACGATCATGGCCTTCAGCCGGCAGTAGCACTTGGGGGGCAGCTCGGCCAGGCCGCCGCCGCCGCCGTCCGAGAAGGCCTGGCTGTGCAGCGGGTGCTCGTGGCCGCCCGGGCCGGTGGCCTGGCCGGCGGGGATGGTGGTCACCGTCACGGAGAAGGACACCACGTCGCCCATGCGGTCGGGGTCCGCCAGCCCCGTCAGGAGCGCCTCCTGGTGCAGCTCCGGCGAGGCGGAGACGTTGATGGTGCCGCTGTAGCCCGGCCCGCCCAACCGCCGGGGCGGCTGCGCGGGGGAGCGCGGCACGGGCCGGGGGCGGGCCGGCTCCGCTGGAGCGCCGGCAGGGGGGAGATCCGTGCCGCTGCCGGGCCGCGTGTCCCCGCTCGCGGCGGGGGCCGCCTGCTCCACGTCCTGGGCCACGGGGGCGCTGGCGGCGCAGCCCTGCCCCGCGGAGAGCAGAGGGGGGGCCCCCTCCTTCTGGGTTCCTGCCGCCTGCCGCACCGGTGCCGCCGTCCAGCCTCCGCCCCACTCCAGGCCCGGCGCTTCTTCCTGAGCTGCGGGACCGGCTGCCTCGCTTCCAGGGGGGTCCGTCTGGCCCGCGACTCCCCCGCCGCTGCCCCCACCGGCGGCCGGCTCCCGCTCAGCGAGCTGGACGCGTGGCCCCTCTGGGCTCCGGCGGCTCTCCAGGGGCACGGCGAGGCTCCTCCGCAGGCTCTCTGAGCAGCGCCCGTAGGTGGAGACGTTCAGGAGGTAGTGTCCAGACATGGCGGGCCGGGCCGTCCGTCTCCCCACGAAGCCCAGCACGAAGCTCTGCCCGGCCGAGCCGCCCTCAAGCAGGAGGTCCAGGGGTAGGGGGGGCAGGCGGGGCGGGGGGGAGACCGCCCGTGGGGGGCCCTGAGCCGGCGCCCGGTGCAGGAGGGTCTGCAGCAGCTGCTCCTGCGGCTCCCGGCCCGAGCCCGGCTGGGCACCGGGGCTCCACAGCTCCTGCCCCGGGAGGGAGGGGGCGGGGGGAGGGCCGTGGGGCTGCGGCTTGCCCCAGCCCGCCCCCGCTTTCCCAAGTGGGAAGGCAGCGAGGGGGGGCTGGCCCTCCCCCACTTCTCCCGGGGGACTGGGCTGGGGGGCGGCCAGGGCCTCCCGCGTGGGCAGGGGCAGGGCAGGCTTGGCCTCGCCCCGCGCCCCGCGCCGGGGCAGGATCCGCTCCAGGGGCACCGCCTGGCCCTGCAGCAGCTGTGCGACGAGGGGGTTGTTCGCCGGGATGCTGGCGCTGGCCTTGCTGGGCGGGGCGCTCCGGCTTGCCCCGGGGCCGCCCAGGGGGGGCCGGGGCCCGGGGGCTCCCGGCAAAGCGCCGGGGGATGGAGCAGCTCCAGCCACCACACCGCCCTGCAGGGGAGGGGGCGGAGGGGCCCCGGGGGTCACGGCTGAGGCCCGGCACTCTGGGGGCAAGGGGGGGCCCCGGCCTCCAGACGCGCCGGTGCTGGCAGCAGCGGGGGACGCAGGGGTGGCCCGGCCGGCCGTCCTGCGCGCAGCATCGCCGGGGGCTTCCGGGGGCCGGCTGGCCGGGGGCAGGGCGGGGGATGGGGCCCCCCTGCTTGGGCTGGCGGAAGGGCTGGGGCAGCCCGCGATGGCTACGGCGGGCTGGGAGCGGGAGGGGGCCGGAGGCCCCGCCCCAGGGACCCCGCCGGCCGGCCGGGGCTGCGCGGGGGGCGCTGGCTGTAGCTGTGCTCTCGCAGCACCGCCGCAGCCTGCGGGTGGGGCAGCCGCAGCCGCTGCCGAGGAGCCCCCTGCCGGACCGCGGGGCGACGGCCCAGGGGGCTCCGCTCCGCTGCCGGGGCCTGCCCAGCCCGGGGAGGTTCTGTGGGGCTTGCCGGAGGCCGGGCTGCTCCGTTCCGCTGCGCCCGTGCCCCCGCCCCCGGGGCCGGGGCCCGGCACAGACCCTGCGGCGGATGCCGCCGTGGCCCCGGAGGCGGCGGCGGCAGCAATGGCGGCGGCCCGCTGGGCCCTGGCCATCTGTGCCCTGGCCTTGATGTCCGCCAGAGTCCGGGCCCCTGTCCTTCGGGGACCAGTGGTGGCGAGTGGGAGGCCCGGCCGGGGGGGGAGCGGGCTGGCGGAGGGGAGGGCCGGAGCGCCGTGTATCCTGGAGAAGGGGATCTGTGGGGGAGAAGAGGAGCGCCACGGTCACTCGGGTGTCTCTCCCCAGGCCAAGCGCCACCCGGCCCACCCACACGACAGCCAAGCCGCGGCCCATGGGCCACCCGCAAGCAGGCCCCTCTTGCCCGGCGCCAGGTGCTCGTGGGCACACTGCCTTCCCCCTGCAAGCAGCACGGCCTCCCCCCACGAGGCGGGAGGCACCACCAGCCACCCCCCTGCCGGGCTGCCCAGCCCCTGCTCGGAAGCCCCCCAAACCAGGGCCACCCTCTGCCTCGCACTGCTGCGTTCAGCTGTGTGCGGTGTGAAGCACCTCCTTGGGCCCGATCAAGTCTCCCCACAGTCGGCCCCAAGGGCGTACTCCATGGCGCTCCAATATGACAGGAAAGGGAGAGAATGCCCCCGGTGGGTGGGGAAGGAAGCCGGGCAGATGGTGGGTCCAGAACGGGCCCCCCACCGGAGCCCCCTGCCCCTGGCGTGAGCTGTTGTGAGCCGCGCAAAACTGTGCGAGATGCCCAGAGCTGCGGCTATTGGGCGGTATGGAGATGAGATGAGGATGAGGATGGTGCCCATAGAGACCAGTCAGGTAACGTTGCGCACAAAGACGGCACGAGCCACTTACCCTGAGCGGAGGAACCTTTGGCGCAGGCGCAACGAGAAAGGGCTGCAGGGAGCCCGGAAATGGCAGGCTGCAGCAGCCCTTCTCCGCGACGTGGGGGCGCTTCTCTGGGGCGGCCGGCAGCTCCCCCGGAGCCTCGGCCTTCCTCTTGGCGGAGCGGGCGCCTGTCTCCATCTGCTCCACGCCGGCGGCCTCCCGAGCGCCTTCGGGGCCGGCCCCGGCTGGGCTTCGGGGCTTGCCGACGCCGCCTTTCTCCTGAGACTCCGGGCCGGCCGGCCGGGGCGGCTCCGCGTGCGCGGGGTCCTCGGTCCCCCTGGTAGGCCGAAGGGGGCTCCGGCAGCTCTCGCGGGCATCTTCGTGCTTCACCGGCCGGGGGGCTCCGGGCTGCTCCCTCTCCTCTCCTCTGCCACCGACTGGCGGCACCGGGGGCTCCTGGGCCTCTGCCCCCACCGGGGGAGCAGCCTCTTCATTGCCAGGTGCCCCGGAAGAGACTGGTGCGCGTGCCTGCGGGAGAGCCGTGGGGCTCCCAGGCTCCGCTGGACTCGGAGCGGCAAGTGGACACGACGTCAGCTGCTTGGACTCTTCGGGGCTCAGCCCAGAGCTAGAAGCGTGTGAGGAGAAAGGACAGGCACCGGTGAGGCTCGGCCCACTCCCCCAGCGCCGGCAGGCTCCTGCAGGCGGAGCTCGGGGGGGCCCCCTGACCACCTGTGCCACCGGCCCGGCCCGGCCTGGCCCTCAGACTGCCAGAGTGCGGAAGAAGGCGGGGCGGCCTTCGAGCTCACGCGTGCGGGGCTGGGCGAGCAGGATCCACCAGCCTTCCCCAGCCCCCCACGGCTGCGGGCCTCTCTTCAGCCAGCCTCAGCCCCGCGGTCGCAGCACTGGCCAGCGCACAAGCCCTGGTGTCGGGAGCCGTGTGACGCAGGCAGCGCCCTTGGCACCCGAGGGAAAAGGCCGGCCTTCCACGGAGAGGCTGGCGACGGAGCCTGCCTGCTCCGTGGCGCCAGAACGTGGCTGGGACCAGGTGCGTGGCGACAGCAACTGCGAGGACCGGGTGAACGGCCCCATGGGTAGCCAGCCGGGGGGGCGGGTGGCCGGCCTTGCACTGAGGGCACCCTCTCCCCACGGAGTGTGGGGTAGCTGCAGGCTCCCAATCTAGGTGCTGGAAAGACGGTGGGCTTTGGAGGCCGGTACCTCCCTTCCGCCCGCAAGGAGCCTCTGCCGAAAAGCCAGAACGAGGGGGGGGGGGGCTTTGGGAGAGGGCAGGCGGGCAAGCCCTCACCTCTGCCCGTAGTAGCTTTCAAAGAACTGCTCCTTCCACAGCTCCACTTTCTTCTCCTTCTCCTGCTCCTGCCGAAGCCTCAGCTGCATCTCCGGAGTAAACTCCCCTGCCACACGGAGTTCAGGGACGGAGGTCAGCCGGGGGTGGAGGGACCCTTCGCACCTCTGCACCAGCAGCTGTGCCCCTCCGGCTGGCTCAGCCCCCACAGCCACCCTGGTCTGTCTCGTCAGCCCGGCACGGCAGCACCCAGGTCTCCCCACGGAAGGCCACCCGGTCCAGCCCCTGCGTCGCGCCATCCCGCTCGCCCCCCATCTAATGGCAGCCCACTGGCCCTGCAAGGGGGCCAGAGCGGCTGCCCCCCCCCACCCCCATGAGCAGCTTCTCCGCAGGCCACAGAGCATTCCGTGCGCGCCCGGCCTCGGGGCGCACCGTTCTCCAGGTGAGCCGACAAGCAGCACGGGCAGGTGCACGGCCGCTGCACAGGCATTCAGCCCACGGGGGGGCCTGGCGGGCAGTCTGGCCAGTGGGGCATTTCCCTCCCCCTGGAAGGCGTGAATGTCTCCCGACAGCTGGGGTGCACTGGCTCCACTCCCCACAAGCGTCTGCTCCGGTGGGCAGCCTCCCCCGCAGAAGGAGCCCAGCCAGCCCCAGCGAGCCCGCTCACAAGCGGCCCCAGCCCGGTGGCCCGGCCTGGCCCTTCCCGAGCAAGCGGCCTCACCTTCCGACAGCCGCTCCTTCCAGCCTTGGGCAGCAGAGGTGAAGAACTCGTTGTTGAGGGCAGAGCCGCTCAGCTTCATCAGGCCGTCCAGCCCAGTCTGTGGGCAGGGCGGGGGGGGGGGGGCAGGGGGAGGAGGAGAGGATGCAAGGATCACTCTTGGCGCCAGGAAACAGGGAGAGCAAGGGAAGCCCCCCACCCCACCCCAAGCGCTCCCCTGCCTGGGCCGCTCGGTTCCACGACGCTCCGGGAGGAGGCAGGAAGTGCCTCCCGAGTGAGCGTGGGGGCGGCACGCAGGAGCCGGGATGCTGTGAGGGCCACCACATGGAACAAAGCCCTGTCCCGCCCAGGACTCTGCGTGCGCCCACAGACCACGCGACGGCCACGCAGTGGTGGCACACAGGTGCCCGTGGGGAGCCATGGGGCCGGCAAGCCTGCCCGGCCCAGCCTCTGGCGCAGTGGGGCGAAGGGGGAAGCCCGGCCGGAGGGGCCCCGCAGCCTCCGCAGCGCCTGGCCCCCGCCCCGCCCCAGCGCAGGAGGCCCCGAGCGGCCGTCTGGACGAACGTGGAGACGCGGAAGCAGGAGACGTCCCTGCCGCGAGGCAGAGCCGGAGCCGGAGCCCGGCGCGGCCGCTGAACGGGGTCCCCAGCCGGTGCGTGTGACTCGGGGGCTCCGCCGCGGCCTGTGGGCAGCGCCGCTGGCCTGGAGACACACCTGCCGGTCCACCTCGGGGAGCAGCAGCAGCAGCCGGTGCTGGCAGTCCACGGGCAGCGCCGAGAACGTGTGCTTGTTGATCAGAGCCCGCAGGTTGGTGTTCACCAGGATGGAGTCTGGCGTTTCCACGTCTATTTCAGCACACTTCGTCCTCTTCAGCTGTCCTGGACGAGAGACGTGGAGGCGGTCGCAAAGAGGGGCGGCAGCCACGAGCCTCACTCTGGAAGGGCTGCCGTGTTCGGCGCAAGGCCCTTGGGCAGCCCCCACCCCCGTGCTGCGGAGCCCGGCCTGCCAGCGTCGCCCGCCCCCGCAGAGCCACCTCCCGGCGACTTGGCCAAGACAGAGGGCCGGTCCCCGGACGGCCCCTGCCGCTTGCCGGGCAGCTCCGGGATGCAAGGCAGACACGGCAGCATCCGCCCCCAGCGGCCGCGTGCGGCACTCGCAGGATGCGCCGGAGCTCCGCCCACCGAGCTGCCCCCAGGGCTGCCGAAGCGCCCCGCACGGCACCCCAAAGGCGGGCAGCTCCTCGCCCGCGGCCACAGACCCGCCAAGGACAGCCGCATCAGACCACGCCGCGGTAATCAGGAGCCCGAGAAAAGGCGCCGAAACCTCGCTCACCCTCAGGATATCGAGCAGGCCTGCCAGCCCGGCCACCTCGAGGCTTCCCCGCCCAAGCAGAGGCGCGCTTCTAGCCCGTAAAGGCCTCCATGAGCCCGTGTGGCGAAGCGACCAAGAGCGTGGGACTGGGACTCGGGCGAGCCAGGGTCTCGCCCCTGCCCAGCTGTGGGACCGACTGGGCGGACCTTGGGCCAGGCACAGACTCTCAGCCCAGCCTACCTCTCAGGGTTGTTGTTGACAGGATAAGATTGGGAGCAGGAGGAAGGGAATTATGTGAGCTGCTTTGAGTTCTTTGGAATAAACAAGGTGGGTATAACTTTAACAATTAAGTGAATAATAAAAAATGGAGTCGATGGCTTGGAAGCACAACACCTGATGGAGCACCTCTCCCAACGGCGATCTTCCCAAGCAGCGCGACCACGGTCTGGGGCCTGACTCCGACGGCTGCCTCCACTGGAGGCTCAACAGCCGCACGAGGAGCAGGGCCTTCCCGGTGGCAGCCCCTCCCGGGCACCTGCTGGGAACAGGCTCCCCACTGGGGCCGTCTCACACCAACTTTAGCACCTTCTTGGCATCAGGAGAGGATGCCCTCTCTGAGGGAGCACTTACCGCATTTTTCGCTCTATAAGACGCACTTTTTCCCCCCTCAAAAGTAAGGGGAAATGTTTGTGCATCTTATAAAGCGAATGTGTGTGCCCCCGACGCCCGGGACGCTGCCGGCCACCTGCACCACGTGGCACCACCTGGCCGGCACGCGCTCGGCGCACCCTGCTCCACCCCCGCCGGCACAGGTGAGAGCTGTGCCGCTCAGGGGGAGGTGTGTGGAGGAGGAAGAGCCGCGGCCTTTAACCCGCCGGCCCCACAGAGAGACGGACTGCTCACCCACACCGCCCGGGAAGACCTGCCACTGCGCCACCCGGAAGACCACTGCCGGCACGCTGCCGGCCCCATGGGGCACCACCTGGCCGGCACGCGCTCGGCGCGCCCTGCTCCGCCCCCTCCTCTGGTGCAGGTGAGAGCTGTTAATCACAGGTCGGTGTGTGTTTTCAAATGGCAACCCGTCTTTTAACGAAGCCCACGGGGAAGTGATGGGGAATGTGCCTGCGATTATCAGGAAGCTTTCCATAGATCCCTCCTCTAAAAACTAGGTGCGTCTTATGGTCAGGTGCGTCTTATAGAGCGAAAAATACGGTAATTAATTTTAAATCATACTGGGGTATTGTGTCTGCTTCGGGCACCGGGCACCGTTAACAGCGGCAGCAACAGGGCGGCGGCACCAGCGTCCCGCCCGCCCTCACCCGAGCTGGGCAGCAACGCGCGACCTGCACTCACACACGGCCGCTCCCTGGTGCCAAGCGGCCAGCGAGCACGCCCCCGCTGGAGCGCCCCCGCCGTGCGGCTGCTCTGCCCTCTCTCCCCAGGGCAGCGGGGCCACTGCCCCAAGCACCACTCCGGAGCCAAGCCACGCCGTCGGGGCGAGGCGGGCTCCGTGGTACGGCTGGCGGCCCGGATCCGAGCGGGCCTCGCTCCCACCGCAGACGCCGGCTCATCAGGGCCGGGATGCGCTCCGCCAGCGGCCAAGGCGAGCCCGTCCCGTGGCCGCGTGCACGAGCTGCGGCAAAGCGAGCCCGGCCCGCCCCGGCCCGCCCCTCTGCCTCGCCACAGAAAGCGCCCCCGACCCTGTTAAGCAGCTCAGGAATGCCTGCTCACGCTGCACACCTGGGAGCAGGACCCACCACCGACGCCTGGGTATTCCCCGATCCGAGGCCCCCCTTGTCCCGGGAGGCTGCGGCCCACGCAGAGGAGGCACGCCAGCCATGAAGCCGGCGGAGCGAACGCGTGCAAGAGGGACGGTGCTGCTTCCCCTCCGAGATCGAGAGCTCCCTCGCACCCTTCTCAGAAGGACAAGGTGGGCGGCAAGCACTCGGAGGGGCTCCCCTGCTGCACGAAGCGCTGCCACCTCAGGACAGCTGCCCCGCCTCCAGCCCTCGTGCGCAGCTGGCATCCCACCCACCAGTCTCCCGGGCCCCGGAAGCACAGCCAGCGGATGCACACACCCCTCCCGGCTGTCCCAGGGGGGACCCTGCGCTCCGCAGAGTCTCCTCCGCCAGCGCTTCGCCCTGCTGAGCACAGGTGTTCTGGAAAACCGGGCTCACAGCGTCCAAATGTGAGTCCCCGCTGGCCGCAAGGAAAAGAGCCCCAAGCGGACGCCAGCTGTGGCGGGCGGTTCATTTAGCACATCTGCATCTTGCCATTCCTTTTACAAATCCACTCGACGCAGCTTGTCCTTCTGCTCTGCCTCACCCCCACAATCACCGCCCCGCGAGGGAGGCTGGACTGAGCGCCTGAGCCCGGCTGGAGACTGGGGCCCGGGTCGCCCGAAGCCCAGCCCCACGCTTTCAGCCGGACACCGCAGGCCTCGCTCTCCCTGGAAAGCGAAGCCCTGGGCAGCACGGACCCGGCCGGGGGTGTGGGGTGGCGAGCTGTCCTCCGGGCCGGAGTGTGGCCCAAGCAGACGGGGCCTCGGCGGCTTCGCTTCTCGGAGAACGCGCGGCACCGCCCGGGCCAGACCGACACAGCCGAGGGCCACCCACGATCCTCCGGCCCACCTCGCTGGGGGGGTGTGGGCGGCACCGGCCAACCTGCTCGGCCTCCTGGGGCCGGCCCTGAAGGCCCTGCCTGGGAGAAGGGCCCCGGGCCCCACGGCCACCACCCCCTCCCCCTGCCAGCCTCTGCTCCAGCCTTACTTGCGTGGAGCCGCTCAGACCTCTGGAAGGGCTTCTTCCCCAGGACCGGCAACGAGGGCTCTGCCTTGATGGAAGGAGAGGAGCTGGAAGTCGAGTTCTGGGAGCTGCTGGAGTGTCCGTCGGGTGGCTTCCCTTCCCAGGCTGAAAGGGACAAAAGCAGCGCCCCGAATCAGGCAGGGAGCTGGGGCAAGCGCTGCCCCTCAAAGCAGACCGGGGGGCGGTTGGGGAGAGAAAAATCGGCCTGAACGCTCGACTCGGCTCCCCGTCTTCGGCATCTCACTCAGCAGGGCACCTTCGCTCTACCCGGAAGCCTGAGGCCTCTGCACGCCGGAGCCAAGAGGGCAGTTCCCCTGGGCATCAGCCGCAGAGCGCCAGGACACGGGTCCACTGGCTGGACCTCAGGGCCTTCCTCTGTCCTGGCCCCCGCCTCCCTCCGTGTCCTCTGCCAAATCTCTCCTTGCGAGACACTCCTGAATGTGCTCGTTGCCGGGGGGCTGCTGCCGCCCAGGGGAAGGGGCCGCCTGCTTGGAGCACCTTGCTCGCCTTCTGGGGAAACCGGCGCTTGACGCTGGCCTGGCGAGCTGCAGGCCCACCAAGGGGCACCGGCTGGGGGCTGGTACCCATTTTCCAGTGGACACCCCTTCCCAGCCCTGAACGGGCAGGGGGTCATGCGACAGCGGTGGCTGAGGGGCAGCTCCACCCGCCGGCCTCTCTCTCTCTCTCTCTCTCTCTCTCTCTCATTCTCTCTTTCTTTCTTAAACATTTCTATGCCGCCCCATCGCAACAAAGCCTCAGGGCGGCTCACAACACATAAATAAATACAGAAGTAATAAAATAAATAAATACTAAATTATACAATAAATAACACCCCCCCAGTGCATTCTCGGCTAAAAAAAAAAAACCCTAGTTAATAAATAATTAACAGTTAAAATAAGGTTTAAATGAAAAGGTCTTAGCCTGGCGTCGAGAAACAAGTAACGACGGCGCCAGGCAGACCTCTCTGGGGAGCGCATTCCACAGGTGGGGCACCACCGCGGAGAAGGCCCTCCTCCGGGTGCTCGCCCTCCTAATCTCCTTCACGGACGGCTCCCGGAGGAGGGCCCCTGGGCGGGAGGGCATGTACGGGTGCAAGCGCTCCTCTTACCGGGTTTTGCCGGGGCCGAGTGGCCGGCCGACCGCGAGTGGTGCGGCTGCAGGAGGCTGTGGCCGGAGGAGACGGGCACGCTGGCTCGGCACTGCTGCTGCTTCCGCTGCTTCTGCTTCAGGGCCTACGAGGGGAGAACGCGAGGCAGCAGGGCCTTCCGGGGCCGCGGGAGGCTGTGGAAGGCCCTTCCCGGGAAGCCCGCCTGGCCCCGTCCTCTGCAGCTCTTCCATCACGCGAAGGGCCCCCGGGAGGGTGGTGGCCACCCAACCCCAGCCGCCCGCGAGGAGGCGATCGTCTGGACCCATTTCAGTCGGGCCCGGCCTGGTTCTGGCACGGAAGCAGCTCTGGCCGCCCCGTGAGACGGCCTGTGCCAGGAGAGGCAGGGCGGGTGCGGCCCTGTTAGTTCTCCGGGAGTTCTTGGGGGCTCTCGAACTTCGACTCTGCCAGGAGCCAAAGTCTGCTGGGGTGAGGCTGCGGATGTGCTGAGCTGAGCTGGTGCCTGGCACACGGAAGCCCCGATCCAGGCAAGGCCGCGAGGCTGCTGCGGGCAGCCCCTCTGTCCAGGTGGGGGGCCTCCAGCCCCTTCGGGGCAGTCCGCCCAAAGGAGCAGCCTTACTGCTTCGGGGCTCTCCTGGATCCCCCTTTGCACGCGAGGCTCAGGCGGCCTCAGTGGCTCGGAGGGCCTTCGACCAGCTGCGGCTGGTGGCCCAGCAGCACCCGTCTGGATAGCGATAGCCTGGTCTCAGGAATCCGTGCTCTGGTGATCTCCACGTTAGACTGCTGCAAAGCACTCTGCGTGGGGCTGCCCTGGAAGGTTGTCCAGAAGATGCTGTCTGTGCAAAACGTCACAGCCGGCCTGATAACCGGGACCAGAAGGTCCGGGCAAGAAGCGCCACGCTGGCTCACTCGTGCTGGCTGCTCATGTGCTTCCAGGCGCAGTTGCGACCCAGAGAGCCCCGCCTGGCTTTCACACGGCAGCATCAGACGGAGCGCCTCTCCCACCTCGGTCGACCCAGACCCTGCGGCCTGCACCCGGGGCCTTCCTCCAGCTGCCAACTCCAGGGACGGACCAGAAAGAGGAAACAAGAGACGAGCCCCTCGGTGGGGGGCCCCATGTATGGAGTAAGATCCCCACGGAGACCTGCCTCACACCGGCACCGTTTTCTCTTTGGTACCAGGCTAAAACCGCCCTCCGTCCCCTGGCGTTTAATGGCATTTGAAGGGTTGTGTCAGTTGCTGATTAAGTCTAGTTTTATCAGAATTTAGATGCTTAAATTGTGTTTACATTTTTGCATACTGGAATTTTTACCATTTTAAATTTGCATATTTCAATTTTAGATTGTGCTTTCATTGCATCTGTATATGCATTAATTTTTTTATTTTAATTTCTTTGCATTTTTGAGAAATTGTTGAGAACTGCCAGAGAGCTTTGGCTACTGGGTGGCAGAGCAGCAAGAGTTACCGCCGCCCTCACTGCCAGCAGGCTCAAGACGCTGAGGACAGCAGCCCCTGGCGCATGCCCAGCCACGGAGGAAGCAGCTGGCGGCCACGTGGGGGGGCTCTGTGGCTCCCACGAGGGAGGCACTCGGGATTCCGTGGTGCAGCGAGGCAGTGGACACACGGGGGGGTGGGACAGGCAAGCCAGGTGGGGGGGGACTCACAGTCAAACATAAGGACTTCCTCACCGCAGGAACCCCTGGCAGAATTCCTCAGGAAAGGCCACAGGGCCGTTCAAGCCCAAGGAAAACCTCCTGAATCCTCCCCTTTGGAAAGCAGGATCCAGGCACGGTGGAGGCGGCCCTGAGAAAGTCCTCAGCACGGATGAAGGGCAGAAGTCCAGGGGTGGCAAGGAGTGGGCGACCACAGTGGAGCAAGGGCCGGGGGGCTCCGCGGCTGGGGGGGGCCAGGCAGCGCTGGGCCACAGGTCCAAGTCCAGGCCGCGCGAAGGAGCCCCCGGACCAGGCCAGGGGGTTCTGGGGGCCAAGGAGGAAACGGGCTGCCTCGGGGCCTTCAGGGGGCTCTGCAGCAACAGCGGCCGAGGAGGTGGTCTCCCGTCCTCATCAGCTGGCTGAGCTCGCCTGCCATTCACAAGGCTTGGGCCGCACAGGGAATCCGGAGGCGCCTCCCTGCCCCGCCTTCCCCACAGAAGGAGGCAGAGGAGCCGTGGGCAGCGTGATCGGGCTGTTGGTGCCCGCCCTTTGGCCAACCAGGGGGAAGGGGCACTGCCCATCCGGAGAGCTCTGCCTACTGGGCAGCACAGCAGCGCAACGGCCGGGGCCGTTCTGGGGGAGCGCACACACGTCGTCCGGCCGCCCTACGTGGCCCACCCGCGCCTCCCCACGCTTCGGCCGCAGAATGGGGCAGGGCACGCTGCCTGTGCCCGGACGGACGGTGCGCCTCCTCCAGCCGGGGAGCCGCTCACCTGCTTCAGTGCCTTCTTGCTGAGCTTCTGCGACGACGAGATGCCCTTACCCGACGCGATGGAAGGAGACGGGCAGCCTGGCTGTGGGGAGGACACTTGCGAGAGCCTGGGGGATTCTGGAGAGACGAGAGCAGAAGGGTCAGAGCAGCAGCTGAGCAAGCCGGCCGGGAGCCGGTCCAGCCTCGGCCTGAAGGCACGCCAGGCACCGCTGCTCGGCCAGGCGGGAAGCTGCCTCCCCGTCCAATAACCCGGGAGAACCTGCCTTTCTGCAGGAGGCTGGGGGCACGCTTGAAGCAGGCTGCCCGCCCCGAGCGCAAAGGGAGGCCCCGGCCCGCTGCCGGCTCAGATGTCCGCCTCCAAAGCTCCTGCTGAGTGGATTCGCGCTTCCTTAAGGCAACACAGCCCGTGGCACAAACTCGATCAGGTCCCCACAGAGGCAGAGATGGGAAGGGACCTGCTCCAAGGGCTCTGCCCGCTGCCTCCTTTCCCGGAACTGCCTCTATCCTGCCGGTCATTCAGGAGGTTCCATGTGGGTTTTTGAAGGAAAGCGGGAAGCTTCCACCCGTGGCGGGGGGGGTGCTCCCTCCTCCAGCACTTTTTCATCAACAGGGACACGTGTCCTCAGCAGCCTCCCCCAGAATCCCGTGTTCTCCCTTCAGTTCACCTGGTTCCCACAGCAGCGGGGGCAGAAATGAGTTCTCCCACTAACATATCGCTGCTTGCCGTGAAGCCAACAATTCTGTGGTGCCCTGGTCCTGAACGGGTAGTTAAGGGCCGTGAGCTTTCTAAAAAATCTGCTCCTAGCAGAAATAAAACTACAAGAAACTGTTTGTAGAGATGAGGCGACAAATCTGGCGCGCCCACAGCTGCAGCACCGCGTCCCGTTCTGGGCTCCCCATCGTGGGGAGACACTGCCAGGTCGGGGTCGGCCCAGCGCAGGGCACAGGAATGGGAGCCGGGCTGGGAGGGCTGGCCTGGGAGGAGAGTGGAGGGAGCGGGGTCTCTCCAGCTGGAGGAGGGGAGACCCCCAGGGGGCCTGTTAGCAGCTTCTGGGGGTGCGAGGGGGTGTCCTGTGGGGGAGGGCCCTGAGCTGTTCTCCCCTGCAGCGGAGGGCCGGACGCGCTCCAGTGGGGCAAAGCTCGAGGAACCGGGCTGCAGCTTGGATGCCAGGAAGGACTTGCTGGCGGATGGGGCCCCGAGGGTGTGGAGGGTACAAAATCAGGTTGTGGGTTTGCGTATCCGGAGGCCCACAGGTGGCTCTCCTGCACAAAAAGCCCGGGGGAAACTTTTCCAAGTGGTGTGGGGTTTTTCCCCAATACATTTACCTGCAGTCCATAATTTTAGGACTGCTCCCGGCACCACTGGAAACGCAGCCATACTTGTGCGGCTCAGAGGAAGGGCAAAGTCAACCGTTGGCTTGCCTCGCACTCTCATTTCAAAAGGTCACATGAAACTTTCGTGCTCAGGCTTCCAAGACCTTCGGAGCGTACGGAAGGCCACCTGCCAGGCCGCCTCCGAGCCTCCACAGCCTTCCCACCATGAGCAGCCAACACCATCGCCGGCGTTTTCCACCCGGGCAGGTCCTGCGCATGCCAAACCGCTGACCACACAGCACAAGGTGTCCCACCCGCCCGGAGACCCAGGCTGGAACCCCCTTCCAAAGGGAGGTTCGGCATTCGCATCCCTAAGCTGCATCAGCCGCTTTTCTTCAGGCAGAATTGCCAGGGACCTGCTCACGGGAGCAGGTGCGGACACGTCCTTCCACAGGCTCTCCCTGCGCCTGACTAAACCATGACCCTTCTGCCCGTCGGCGCGGAGGGAAGGGGCTGCCAGCACCCCCAACTCGCTCTGTGCTAAGGCCGCGCACACTCTCGAGGGGAAGCATCTCAGGGCGGCAGGGGGTCCTCTGGGCTCGGGGCTTGCCAAGCTCCGTAGACTAACGCCACGACCGCCAGAACTCCTCCATGTGAAATTCCCGACGCACATGGAAGGTACTTCTTGACGAATGTGATCCACCACCAAACAGCAACCTGCTTGTGCGCCTGGCTGTGAGTCACTCCTCGAAGCCAACGCTTCTGGAAGATCAGGCTCTGGAAGTGAGTAAGAGGACCATGTTGCTGCCTCTTTGAAGGGAAGAATGCGCTGCTTCCGCACGCCGCGTTGCCGGGCCACGCAAGGCCAGACGTGAGTGGGAGAACCCGAAATTGCCGGCACCACCTGCCCCCACAGCTGCCCGGCCAGCCATGCTCCAGCACGACTGCCGTGCAATTCCACGCTAGGCAATTCTGAGTAATTCTGCCGAACGCCACCGACCACAGGACTGGGCAGAAATAGCCGCGCGCACCCTGGCCCCCCCCCCAACCATCAACTTTTCCACATTTTGCAGTGTTGCGACCTGACATGGAAATGGACTTAATTGGCCTCGTTACCAGCTGAGGTACGTGAGAAACTCAACGCTGCAAAGGCACAAGCTGCTTGTTATCGGGGCACGTGAGCTCAGAAAACCAAACTGTGCGTGTTGGTTGCAGAATTAGTCACCCAGATGAGTTAATGCTCAGCAGAAACACCGTTTCATGTAAGAAGAACCCTGCTTTGCACCCACTCCAGGAATCTGCCCTGACTGTGGCAAACTAGCCCCTCACAGGTCCCCCAAGCGGGGTAAGAAGATCCCCCTCCTGCCAAAGCAACCGGTCCACACGGGCACGCTGCTTCTGACGACAGACGGATGGAGGCCACATCCAACAGGTGTAGTAGCCAATGGCAGCCGCCGGCACCGCCTCCTCCAGGAATTTATCCAATCTCCTTCCAAAGGGGCCCAAGCGGGTGGCCATCGCCACTTTCCACGACAGGGAACATCACAGGTGAGCTGGGTGCTGCATGAAGAAGTCCTTCCTCTGATCTGCCCTGAATCTCCGCCAAAGCAGCTTCGTGGGATGGCCTCAAGATCTAGCATTGTGCCCACTGTCTCCGCCTGCAGGCGCCATTTTTCAAGGCTAAAACATGGCAGCAGTCGCAATGGCTCCTCAGGGAGGCATCACTCCAGCCCCCTGGTCATTCTAATTCCTCTTCTCTGCACATTTCCCAATGCAAAACTGTCCTGTTCAGGTGCAGTGACCAGAACGGCGCACAATATTCTAGGCGCAGCTGCACCCCGAGCTTCATATAACAGGAGTGCGATCTTAGCAGGTTTATTTTCAATGCTTTTCCTAAATCTGCGCAACATGACGCTTGCCGTTTTCACAGCAGGGGTGCACTGGCTGACCACGGTCACTGAGCTGTGCACTGGCACCCGGATTGTCTACACACAAGTATGGGAAACAAACAGCAGCTCCTGATATAATACAGGAGGGTGACGTCAGCCTGACAGGAGTAACCGAAACTCGGTGGGATGGACTCCCAGGGCTGGGATTCAACAATTGAAGGATGTAACTTGTTCGAGAAGAACAGAAGGAACAGAGAAGGAGGCGGACTCTCACTGGGTGTTAAAGATGCGTGTCTCTGCACAGAAACACAGGAGGACGAGCTTACGGCTCCGCTGAGAGGATCTGGAGGAATATAAACGCAGCAAGGAGTAGAAGGAACATGGGGGTTGCCGTCAAGGATGACCCTTCAGAAAAGCAACTTGCCAGTGTTTCCAGAAGGCACGGTGGGGGAGCTCAACTTCCCTGACAGCCGTTAGAGAGAAATTCTGACAAACAGGGCCCCTGCCAAGAGATTCCTAGCAGGAGCTGCTGATAACTTCCTCTCACAGAAAGCGGAGGAGGGGGCCAGAGGAAGGGCCACCCCGGCCCCCATGCTGCACAGCGGGGAGACCTCGTGGGCGTGGGGGCAGCCACGGGAACTCCGGGGAAAGGGACCGGGCCTCACGGGCGTTCCTGGCTCCAAAGCAGCAGGGGCCCCTTGCGGCCAAGCACACGCCCTGGATTTCACGGGAGCCCGTGAGAACAGTGACGAGTCCCGTGGCACGTGGCTTCCACAAGAGGAGGCGTCCGAGGAGGTGGGGATTTTTAGAAAAGGAAATGCTG